AAGTCCAATCACGCGCCCCTCTATCTGTGCAACTTCTCCATGCGGTGTGGGCTGACCCGAGAGGACTTTATCGCCCAGATGAGCCGCGAGACTTATCAACCGGAAGACAGAAACTACAGTTCCAGGACATAGATTCCAAGTGAGTGATGGATATCGAGAAAAGATTGCTCCATGTTTGGAAATACTGAAGTAGTATGAAATGTTTATTCTCGTATTCGCAGTTTCGCATTATCGGTGTTTGGTATCTATTGGATTATTTCATATGATTTCTGTAATGCGCTAATTAATTGCTAGTTTTTTTTTTTTCTTTCTTTTTTTTTGCTTGTTCGTCTATCATTACCGCTCAAATCTTGGCTAAGAAATAAAGGATCTCATGGTATTTTTGAATAATCAGAAATTACAGGTACAAAGTAAGGATTCACAGTTAGTGACTGGCACAGCGAAAAGCTGGCTGGACTGCTAGAAATATGAAGCACAATATCCAAATATCAAGCTGAAAGATTTCACTTGCACTACCGTACTTTAGCATTATGGTAATTTTTATATTTTGGTTAATACTGTCGAATTGCTCTTTTTCTATTAATAACACAATTACTTCTGTTACTAACGCATCTATTATCTTAAAATGCAATTTATTGGATGCTCATTTCTCTTTAACACTGGCAAGAACTTCACACTATTTTTAAGCACTCAGATGCGATATCGACGCTCATCTATCACGGATTGCCGACGCTGATGCTGGCATAAGGAAAGGGGTCCATTCTTCTGAGTCAAATTCAAGTTTCCTTCAAGGATGAACAGACAATATCACGTGTAAGAAATATATTAGAATATATTTCAATCTAAATCTTATTTCGTCGGGTCTGGTAGTTCAATCCAATATATGAAGAGGTACTTATATGAATGGGATCTCACCATAGATTTACACATCACAAAAACAATAACCAAATAGAGGCACGAGAAGGAAACAAAAAAATCTCACAGCTTCTCCCTTACAATATCGACTTTACGCCATAAAGGGAAATAAGCTTCACTTTTCGAAATTCCATTTCTAGCTCACGAGCGACCACACTGCTTACCTTTCACGTTTGTAGAAGAGAGATAAGAGAGAAGCGATTGGAGGGTCGAGTTCAGCGACTCTGTCAGCCTTTTGGAAGTACAGGCTATTTATACTGAGGTGTAAGGACGTCAAGGACGTCGGTATACCGGAGGACGTGGGTAATGCCCCTAACTACCTTCAACTTATTTGTTTTTCTTATTATTCTTTGATTTAATGCGTTATAGCTGTGCGTTTCCATACAACACTTTCCTGTACAAATGGTTTAGTACGTTACATGGTACTGAAATAATATGTCTGATATATTGACGTAATTATGTATATCGTTCCATGCGTGACAACTGTAGGCCTCCAGTATTTGGGAAAATGAAGCGACCAATCACAGGCGACTTTTCTCCTTACGCCCGCCCACTCCAGGTGCAGCGCGGGATAAGTGCAAAGAGCGTATGCTGGTAAGAAGGGAAAGTCATAATAGTTGTTACTGAAAGAGGGAATGCGTTGATTAAAACTGACAATTACGAACAGATTAAAACTGACG